TTAAATCTGACATTCTGAAGAAGTTGTCTGGATCAACATCCTCCAAATTGTTTAGTTCAGGATATATTTTTGTTGCCCAATATTGAACTTTCTTCAATGAAGCAATGTCTTTCTGAAGATGAAGTCTCCATGCCGGAAGCATAATCCATGCCAGAGATTTATACAATTCCCCCCCCATCTGTGCGCACTGTCAGCCCTGCCTCGCTCCCCCCAGCCCTGCCTCGCTCTCCCCAGCCCTGCCTCGCTTCCCTGTGCGCACCCCACAGCCCTGCCCCGCTCCCCTATGCGCACCCCCCCCCCCCAGCCTGCCTTGCTCTTCTGTGCGCACCCCCCCCCCAGCCTGCCTTGCTCCCCTGTGTGCACCACCCCCCAGCCTGCCTTGCTCCCCTGTGCGCACCCCCCCCCCAGCCTGCCTTGCTCCCCTGTGCGCACCCCTCCCCAGCCTGCCTTGCTCCCCTGTGCGCACCCCCACCCCAGCCTGCCTTGCTCCCCTGTGCGCACCCCCACCCCAGCCTGCCTTGCTCCCCTGTGCGCACCCCCACCCCAGCCTGCCTTGCTCCCCTGTGTACACCCCCCAGCCTGCCTTGCTCCCCTGTGTACACCCCCCCCAGCCTGCCTTGCTCCCCTGTGTACACCCCCCCCAGCCTGCCTTGCTCCCCTGTGTACACCCCCCAGCCTGCCTTGCTCCCCTGTGTACACCCCCCAGCCTGCCTTGCTTCCCTGTGTACACCCCCCCCCCAGCCTGCCTTGCTTCCCTGTGTACACCCCCCCCCCCAGCCTGCCTTGCTCCCCTGTGTACACCCCCCCCAGCCTGCCTTGCTCCCCTGTGTACACCCCCCCAGCCTGCCTTGCTCCCCTGTGTGCACCACCCCCCAGCCTGCCTTGCTCCCCTGTGTGCACCACCCCCCAGCCTGCCTTGCTCCCCTGTGTGCACCACCCCCAGCCTGCCTTGCTCCCCTGTGTGCACCACCCCCCAGCCTGCCTTGCTCCCCTGTGTGCACCACCCCCCAGCCTGCCTTGCTCCCCTGTGTGCACCACCCCCCAGCCTGCCTTGCTCCCCTGTGTGCACCACCCCCCAGCCTGCCTTGCTCCCCTGTGTGCACCACCCCCCAGCCTGCCTTGCTCCCCTGTGTGCACCACCCCCCAGCCTGCCTTGCTCCCCTGTGTGCACCACCCCCCAGCCTGCCTTGCTCCCCTGTGTGCACCACCCCCCAGCCTGCCTTGCTCCCCTGTGTGCACCACCCCCCAGCCAGCCTTGCTCCCCTGTGTGCACCACCCCCCAGCCTGCCTTGCTCCCCTGTGTGCACCACCCCCCAGCCTGCCTTGCTCCCCTGTGTGCACCACCCCCCAGCCTGCCTTGCTCCCCTGTGTGCACCACCCCCCAGCCTGCCTTGCTCCCCTGTGTGCACCACCCCCCAGCCTGCCTTGCTCCCCTGTGTGCACCACCCCCCAGCCTGCCTTGCTCCCCTGTGTGCACCACCCCCCAGCCTGCCTTGCTCCCCTGTGTGCACCACCCCCCAGCCTGCCTTGCTCCCCTGTGTGCACCACCCCCCAGCCTGCCTTGCTCCCCTGTGTGCACCACCCCCCAGCCTGCCTTGCTCCCCTGTGTGCACCACCCCCCAGCCTGCCTTGCTCCCCTGTGTGCACCACCCCCCAGCCTGCCTTGCTCCCCTGTGTGCACCACCCCCCAGCCTGCCTTGCTCCCCTGTGTGCACCACCCCCCAGCCTGCCTTGCTCCCCTGTGTGCACCACCCCCCAGCCTGCCTTGCTCCCCTGTGTGCACCACCCCCCAGCCAGCCTTGCTCCCCTGTGTGCACCACCCCCCAGCCTGCCTTGCTCCCCTGTGTGCACCACCCCCCAGCCTGCCTTGCTCCCCTGTGTGCACCACCCCCCAGCCTGCCTTGCTCCCCTGTGTGCACCCCCCCAGCCTGCCTTGCTCCCCTGTGTGCACCACACCCCAGCCTGCCTTGTTCCCCTGTGTGCACCACACCCCAGCCTGCCTTGCTCCCCTGTGTACACCCCCCCAGCCTGCCTTGCTCCCCTGTGTACACCCCCCCCCCCAGCCTGCCTTGCTCCCCTGTGTACACCCCCCCAGCCTGCCTTGCTCCCCTGTGTACACCCCCCCCCCCAGCCTGCCTTGCTCCCCTGTGTACACCCCCCCAGCCTGCCTTGCTCCCCTGTGTACACCCCCCCCCCAGCCTGCCTTGCTCCCCTGTGTACACCCCCCCAGCCTGCCTTGCTCCCCTGTGTGCACACCCCCCCCCAGCCTGCCTTACTCCCCTGTGTACACCCCCCCCCCAGCCTGCCTTGCTCCCCTGTGTGCACACCCCCCCAGCCTGCCTTGCTCCCCTGTGTACACCCCCCCAGCCTGCCTTGCTCCCCTGTGTACACCCCCCCAGCCTGCCTTGCTCCCCTGTGTACACCCCCCCCCAGCCTGCCTTGCCCCCCTGTGTACACCCCCCCAGCCTGCCTTGCTCCCCTGTGTGCACACCCCCCCCAGCCTGCCTTCCTCCCCTGTGTACACCCCCCCAGCCTGCCTTGCTCCCCTGTGTGCACACCCCCCCCCCAGCCTGCCTTACTCCCCTGTGTACACCCCCCAGCCTGCCTTGCTCCCCTGTGTACACCCCCAGCCTGCCTTGCTCCCCTATGTACACCCCCAGCCTGCCTTGCTCCCCTGTGTACACCCCCCAGCCTGCCTTGCTCCCCTGTGTACACCCCCCCAGCCTGCCTTGCTCCCCTGTGTACACCCCCCCCAGCCTGCCTTGCTCCCCTGTGTACACCCCCCCAGCCTGCCTTGCTCCCCTGTGTACACACCCCCCAGCCTGCCTTGCTCCCCTGTGTACACACCCCCCAGCCTGCCTTGCTCCCCTGTGTACACACCCCCCAGCCTGCCTTGCTCCCCTGTGTACACACCCCCCAGCCTGCCTTGCTCCCCTGTGTACACACCCCCCAGCCTGCCTTGCTCCCCTGTGTACACCCCCCCAGCCTGCCTTGCTCCCCTGTGTACACCCCCCCAGCCTGCCTTGCTCCCCTGTGTATACCCCCCCCCAGCCTGCCTTGCTCCCCTGTGTATACCCCCCCCCAGCCTGCCTTGCTCCCCTGTGTACACCCCCCCAGCCTGCCTTGCTTCCCTGTGTACACCCCCCCAGCCTGCCTTGCTTCCCTGTGTACACCCCCCCAGCCTGCCTTGCTCCCCTGTGTACACCCCCCCCCAGCCTGCCTTGCTCCCCTGTGTACACCCCCCCAGCCTGCCTTGCTTCCCTGTGTACACCCCCCAGCCTGCCTTGCTTCCCTGTGTACACCCCCCCAGCCTGCCTTGCTCCCCTGTGTACACCCCCCCAGCCTGCCTTGTTCTCCTGTGTACACCCCCCAGCCTGCCTTGTTCTCCTGTGTACACCCCCCAGCCTGCCTTGTTCTCCTGTGTACACCCCCCCCAGCCTGCCTTGCTCCCCTGTGTACACCCCCCAGCCTGCCTTGCTCCCCTGTGTACACCCCCCCCCCCCAGCCTGCCTTGCTCCCCTGTGTACACCCCCCCCCAGCCTGCCTTGCTCCCCTGTGTACACACCCCCCAGCCTGCCTTGCTCCCCTGTGTACACCCCCCAGCCTGCCTTGCTCCCCTGTGTGCACCACCCCCCAGCCTGCCTTGCTCCCCTGTGTACACACCCCCCCAGCCTGCCTTGCTCCCCTGTGTGCACCACCCCCCAGCCTGCCTTGCTCCCCTGTGTGCACCACCCCCCAGCCTGCCTTGCTCCCCTGTGTGCACCACCCCCCAGCCTGCCTTGCTCCCCTGTGTACACCCCCAGCCTGCCTTGCTCCCCTGTGTACACCCCCCAGCCTGCCTTGCTCCCCTGTGTACACCCCCAGCCTGCCTTGCTCCCCTGTGTACACACCCCCCCAGCCTGCCTTGCTCCCCTGTGTGCACCACCCCCCAGCCTGCCTTGCTCCCCTGTGTGCACCACCCCCCAGCCTGCCTTGCTCCCCTGTGTACACCCCCCAGCCTGCCTTGCTCCCCTGTGTACACCCCCCAGCCTGCCTTGCTCCCCTGTGTACACCCCCCAGCCTGCCTTGCTCCCCTGTGTACACCCCCCAGCCTGCCTTGCTCCCCTGTGTACACACCCCCCAGCCTGCCTTGCTCCCCTGTGTACACACCCCCCAGCCTGCCTTGCTCCCCTGTGTACACCCCCCAGCCTGCCTTGCTCCCCTGTGTACACCCCCCAGCCTGCCTTGCTCCCCTGTGTACACACCCCCCAGCCTGCCTTGCTCCCCTGTGTACACCCCCCAGCCTGCCTTGCTCCCCTGTGTACACCCCCCAGCCTGCCTTGCTCCCCTGTGTACACACCCCCCAGCCTGCCTTGCTCCCCTGTGTACATGGGTTAAGAGGAAAGGCTCCGGGAGGTAAACCTCATGTCCCTGGATGATAAGACTAAGGGAAGACATGATCACCTACAAGTCTCTGACAGGGTGGACAAAGTATTCAGGCCGGGGTGGCAGGGCGGAGCCAGGGGGCACTCCTGGAAATTGTGCCCCCAAATAAGCAACAGATGACTTAGAAATAATTTTGTCAGTGTCATAGTTAATAAATGGAATGCATTAGGCTGTGAAATGGTGGAGGCAGACACCATACACAGTTTCAAATGTTGATATGATAAGAGCCCAGTAGGCTCAGGAACCTGTACACCAGTTGACTGACAGAGGCGGGTCTAAAGAGCCGAAGTTCAACCCCTGCAAGCACAACTAGGTGAGCACCGCCAGCCTGCAAGGTTCTGCTAACAATACTCCCAGGTACCTATTTAACAGCTTGGTGAACAGGTGAATTAGGAGAAAGGAAAATTGGCCAACTACAGTACTTTAGTCCCGACCAGGAATCGAACCCTGGGCGTCTTAAGATAGCCAGAGGCACCTTAATACTTGCTGACAACCCATTCTTTTGATACACAACTACACACAAAATGTCAAGTAAATATAGGCTTAATTTCTCATCAAATACTTGGAACACTTACTTGAGCAGGAGCGTGAGAGCGCGGCGTCTTGAGCGGCGTCTTGAGCGGCGTCTTGAGCGTTGTCTTGAGCGGCGCGCAGTAACGTCCTCACCCTCCAGCGGCTGGCCAGGCACTGCTGTTCCACGCCGCCACCACGTTATATGCATTATTTTATTATGATCAAATTTAAGTTCAAGCGATTTTATTTAATGTACATGTGATTCTTATACTACTGATATAGTCCATAAAAGTAAAGTCAACATGTGTGACCATCCTGAGAGAATGGAAGCTTAGTGAAGAAGAGTTAAGATGGCTGACCTACCACGCCACGACGATGGCCGCATCATGCACTCAACAGATGGCGGTCAACACAGGCCAGGGGCCAGATTCACGAAGCAGTTACGCAAGCACTTACGAACCTGTCCATCTTTTCTCAATCTTTGGCGGCTTTATTTACAATTATTAAAAAGTTAATGAGCTCCGAAGCACCAGGAGGCTGTTTATAACAATAACAACAGTTGATTGGCAAGTTTTCATGCTTGTAAACTGTTTAACAAATGTAAACAAAGCCGTCAAAGATTGAGGAAAGATGTACACGTTCGTAAGTACTTGCGTAACTGCTTTGTGAATCCGGGTCCAGCCTAGCTATACCTTCACCGGGAACAATGGAAGGAAGCTTTTCATGAAGCCTTTCACCTCATGGTTTAAAAGAAGATGAGCTGAGAAACTCAAATCAAATCAAATCAAATATTTATTTAGGTAAGGTACATATATACAAGATATTTTACAAAGAGTGATGGATTTATAGATAGAGCTAGTACATACAATGCCTAAAGCCACTATTACGCAAAGCGTTTCGGGCATAAAAAACTTAAATGACTAAAGCTTAATAATAATTGAGCATAAAGAGTAAAATGAAAACATGGAATGAAAACATAGCTGAAAAAGCAGCACAAATACAATTCTGTCGACAAACAGCGCTCTTTAAAAAAAAAAAAAAAAAAACAGACATTGGTTGACAATAGAGGGGTAAGGTAGGTTACAGGGAATTTATTAGGTATAGCTTCGTTTTTATCTTAAACTGGTTGAGAGAGGTACAGTCTTTAACATGGTTGGGAAGGTCATTCCACATTCTGGGTCCCTTGATTTGTAGAGCATTTCTGGTTTGATTAAGTCGTACTCTAGGAATATCAATACTGTATTTATTTCTGGTGTGGTGCTCATGGGTTCTGTTACAACCTTCTATGAAGCTTTTGAGATCAGGATTGGCATTACAGCTTAGCGTTTTATATATGTATAATACACATGAGAGAATGTGCAGTGACTTAATGTCTAACATATTCAGGGATTTGAGTAGGGGTACCGAGTGATGTCTGGGGCCAGAATTGGATATTGTCCTAATAGCAGCTTTGTGTTGAGTAATTAGAGGACGTAAGTGATTTTGGGTAGTAGAGCCCCAAGCACAAATACCATAGTTGAGATATGGATAGATAAGGGAGTAATAGAGAGTCACCAGGGCAGGGCGTGCCCTGGAAGGCACAATATGCCTTCAGCAGTACAAGTCTTTGAGGTGGGGACGAGGACAGGTTAATTAGTTTAGCAGTTGCCAGAGAGGATGTAATTAAGTAAACAAATAGTAAAACTCAAACCAAACAAATCCCCAGGGCCGGATGAAGTGTTTGCCAGGGTGCTTAAAGACTGCAATGAGGAGCTTTGCGAGCCACTGTCTACCATATTTAATAAATCAACAGAATCAGGCAGAATGCCAGAGTCATGGAAGGTTGCTAATGTGGTACTAATTTTTAAGAAAGGAGATAGATCACTTGCGTCAAACTGGTCGATCAAACAATTGATAGAGCAATTGGAAGTTAGGCTAATTAGCCTAACGTCCATTGTGGGAAAGTTACTTGAATCGATAACTGCAAATACAATTCGTCTTCATCTTGAAAAACATAAATTAATAAATGAGTTGTAAAATGGTTATACAAATGGCCGTTCATGTTTAACAAATTTGCCATCGTTTTATTCCAGCATAGTTGAGGCAGTTGATAGTGGTAAGGATTGTGATGTGTACCTTGACTTTAGCAAAATTTTTTATACAGTGCCACATGAAAGACTGATTAAAAAGATAGAGGCTCATGGTATTGGGGGTGCTATATTAAGCTGGATTAGGGCATGCCTATACCAAAGGAAACAGAGAGTTAGTATAAATGGGGTTAAGTCAGAGTGGAAAAATGTTGTAAGTGGAGTGCCTCAAGGATCTGTCCTGGGACCTCTGTTGTTTATAATATAAAAAAATTCAAAATTCAAAAATTCAAATGTTTATTCAGGTAAAGTACATACATACAAGGGGGTGATACAAATATTGATGAATTTATAGATAGAGCTAGTACATACAATGCCTAAAGCCACTATTACGCAAAGCGTTTAAGGCAGGAAAAACACTAAAGACTATAACTTAATACTAATTGAGATTAAAGAATAAAACACCAGAAATAAATATCTCTTTGGTATCCCAGGGGTCAAACTTAATCTGTGTAAACACTCTATGCAAATTAAGGGACCTATAGTCTATGGAACTCACTCCCTTGTGAATTGAAAAGCTGTCAAACTGTTTTAATATACCAATGTTCTTTAATATACTTACTATTCTCTCTCATCTCATTTTTTTCTTGCAATGTATCTGTTATCATTTTATTAATTCTGCTAGAATTTACGTACTTAAAATTATCTGTTAGATTAAGGACCTGCCCGAAACGCTGCGCGTACCAGTGGCTTTATAAGATTGTAAATACTATGCTATGTATTCTCTCTAACCCAATGTACCTTCTTGTATATAAATAAATAAATAAATAAATAAATAAATAAATAAATAAACTTTTGCCTCATTTGAAAACAAACCCAAAAAGTACCTAATTTCATCTTCGTAGTTTCCTACACTGAACTTTAAATTTGCTCTGTATCTAGTGTTATCCAATCTCCCAATCTTTATGTACTTAACCCAAACAACTTTATCATTGTGTTCATTGCTATCTTCTTTTATGTGCTAGCCATATGCTGTATTGTGCCTGCTAAGTTTTGTTAAACTACCATTCAACCTGTCATTGCAATCATTCTGAGCTGCCTTTGTGCTTTAATATACCTACAATTTTTCTCTCGTCTTTTATTTTTTCATGCGATGTAACTGTTATCATTTGTATAAATTTTGCAAGTATTTACCTACTTATAAGTTTCTTAGATTAAGGACCTGCCCGAAACGCTGCGCGTACTAGTGGCTTTACAAGAATGTAATTACTATGCTATGTATCCTCTCAATCCCAATGTACCTTCTTGTATATAAATAAATAAATAAATAAATAAATAAATAAATAAATAAATAAATAAATAAATAAATAAATGTGCTGAGAAAATATGAAAATAAAAAAGGGGGGAACATGGCAGAAAAACAGCAAATGTACAATTTGGTCGACAAACAGCAGTTTAAAAAAACAGACATGGGTTGACAATATAGGGGTAAGGTAGGTTACAGGGAGTTAATTAGGTAGTGCTTAGTTTTTATCTTAAACTGGTTGAGAGAGGTACAGTCTTTAACATGGTTGGGAAGGTCATTAATTCCACATTCTGGGTCCCTTGATTTGTAGAGCATTTTAGTTTGCTTAAGTCGTACTCTTGGAATATAAAAAATGGCCACTGCCTTTAGGACGAAAGGCGGTGGAGTTTCTGATGGGGAAGGAAGAGACAATTGCGCACCGCATTCCGCAAGGCGCGGTGCGCCTTGCGGAACGCACGCCCGGGCCGGTGTGTGTTCTGCGCCGAGCCTGTGCGGGCCGCGCCAGGTAGCGCTTCCTCCCAGACGTGCACTAGGGGCACCGGTCTGTCGTGTTCCCTAGGCGTGCCCCTAGGGGCCCTGGTTCGTGCCGCGCCCGGCCGTGCGTGTTTGGCCAGGCTCCCTTCAAGAGGCCTGGCGTCGCCCTCTGCGGCAACGCCACGTGGCCAGGTTTCGGTGGTCCTGTGCCCCTGGGGCCCGGCCCTAGGGGCCCACGCCCGGTAGGCGGCGCTCTCGTGGCCTGGAGGTCGGTGGAGCACTCGTCCCAGGTGTGCCCTTCGCTTCCTTCCTGCCTCCCAGGCGTCTTTCCTAGAGCCTGGTATGCTGTGTCCCCTAGGCTTGCCCCTAGGGGCCATGTTTCGTGCCGCGTTGGTCGTGCGTGCACGGCCAGGCTCCCTACTGTGGACTGGAGTCGCCCTCTACGGTGACGCCACGTGGCTGGTTTCAGTGGTCCTGTGCCCTGGGGCCCGGCCCTTGGGGCCCATGCCTGGTAGGCGGCGCCCACGAGGCTTGGAGCTAAGTGGAGCACTCGCCCCAGGTGTGCCCTTCGCTTCCTTCCTCCCCTCCCAGGCGTCTTTCCTGGAACACGGTATGATGCGTCCCCTAGAGGCCAGGGTTCGTGACGCGCTCGGTCGTGCGTGCCCGGCCGGGCTCCCCGCGAGCGACCTGGCGTCACCCTTGGTGGTGACGCCTCCTGGTCGGGTTATTTAGTTGTCTTTGTCCCTAGGGCCCGACCCTAGGGCCCCATGCCAAGGTCAGCATTACCCACGTGGCATGGCGCTCCGTGGAGCGCTTGCCTTGGGTTGTGTTCCGCTTCCTTCCTGTCCCTCTCCCTCTCACCCATGGGCAGGAGACGCCCTTGTGGCGGCGGTGCTCCGGTGCGTAGGCCCAAAGTTTTCTTGCTAAAGGCTACCTTTGCATCAGCCGGTGTCGCCCGGCTTGTTCGTCCCAGACGTTTGTCTGGCTGGTGTAGCCCAGCTTGTTCGTCTCAGACGTTTGTCTGGCTGGTGTAGCCCAGCTTGTTCGTCTCAGACGTTTGTCTGGCTGGTGTAGCCCAGCTTGTTCGTCTGGCTGGTGTAGCCCAGCTTGTTCGTCTGGCTGGTGTAGCCCAGCTTGTTCGTCTGGCTGGTGTAGCCCAGCTTGTTCGTCTGGCTGGTGTAGCCTAGCTTGTTCGTCTGGCTGGTGTAGCCCAGCTTGTTCGTCTGGCTGGTGTAGCCCAGCTTGTTCGTCTGGCTGGTGTAGCCCAGCTTGTTCGTTCCAGACGTTTGTCTGGCTGGTGTAGCCCAGCTTGTTCGTTCCAGACGTTTGTCTGGCTGGTGTAGCCCAGCTTGTTCGTTCCAGACGTTTGTC